AAAGATTTTTAAAGGTATGGTTAAAGACACAATTGACAAATTGACGAAAACATTTGGTTACGTTCTGGGGACTTACAACAATTTAACATAAGAATCATAGTTATGACAGATAAGATGTGTCATTTTTAGGAATCCCATACAATTTTAGAACAAATATTAATAACATATCCATATAAATATATCTAATAAAGACAGCACACACACAAAAATAATAAAATAAAAAATTAAAAGGCCAGGTGTGGTGGCTCACGTCTGTAATCCCAGCACTTTGGGAGGCCGAGGTGGGTGGATCACCTGAGGTCAGGAGTTCGAAACCACTCTAACCAACAAGGTGACACTCCGTCTCTATTTTAAAAATAAATAAATAAATAAATAAAATAAAAAATAGGACAGCACAAGTCACACAGAAATCTGGTTTTCTCTCTCCTCTCTTTTTTTCGCAGTTTACTCAAAAGGTGAACAAAATATTTTATTATCTATTATTAATACCACGTAAAAATCTTGTTTAAAAGAGAAAACCAATTTTACTCTTTTATTAGAGGTTTTTTTTTTTTTTTTTTAGACAGGGTCTCACTCTTTCACCCAGGCTGAAGTGCAGTGGCATGATCTCAGCTCACTGCAGCCTTGACTAAGCAATCCTCCCAACTCAGCCTCTCAAGTAGCTGGGACTACAGGCATGTGCCACCATGCTCAACACATTTCTTTTTTTTTCGGAGACAGAGTGTCGCTCTGTTGCCTGGGCTGGAGTGCAGTGGCGCCATCTCGGCTCACTTCAAACTCCGCCTCCCAGGTTCAAGTGATTCTCCAGCCTCAGCCTCCCAAGTAGCTGGGATTACAAGTGTGCGCCACCACACCCAGCTAATTTTTGTATTTTTGGTACAGACAGGGTTTCACCATGTTGGTCAGGCTGGTCTCGAACTCCAGGCCTCAGGTGATCTGCCTGCCTCAGCTTCCCAAAGTGCTGGGATTATAGGTGTGCCACGGAGCCCGGCTCTTTTTGTTGTTGTTGTTGACAGAGTCTTTCTCTGTCACCCAGGCTGGAGTGCAGTGGTACAACTTTGGCTCACTGCAACCTCCATCTCCCAGGTTCAAGCAATTCTCCTGCCTCAGCCTCCCAAGTAGCTGGGACTACAGGCATTCACCACTACACCAGGCTAATTTTTATACTTTTAGTAGAGACAGGGCTTCACCATGTTGGCCAGGCTGGTCTCAAATTCCTGACCTCAAATGATCCGCCTGCACTGACCTCCCAAAATGCTAGGATTACAGGTGTGAGCCACTGTGGCCATCCCCAACTAATTTTTTCGTATTTTCTGTGGAGACAAGGTCTCACGGGCTAAAGTGATTGTGAGCCTTCTGCCTCAGCCTCCCAAAGTGCTGGGATTACAAGTGTGAGCCACTGCACTCGGCCTCACTCTTTTCTAATATAAGAATCTAGGCTGGGCACAGTGGCTTACGCCTGTAATTTCAGCGCTTTGGGAGGCCCAGGTGGGAAGATTGCTTGTGTCTGGAAGTTTAAGATTAGCTTGGGCAACATAGTGAGACACTGTCTCTACAAAAATAAAAAAATTAGCCAGGTATGGTGGCCTATGCCTATGGTTCCAGTTACTTGGGAGGCTGAGGTGGGAGGATTGCTTGAGCCCAGGAAGTCAAGGCTACAGTGAGCAGTGATCTCGCCACAGCACTCCAGCCTGGGCAACAGAGTGAGACCTTGTCTCAGAAAATAATAATCGTAATTTAATGCTATAAGTTCTTTTCTAAGCACTCCAACTTTGAACTTTGTTTTCCCTTCATTCTATAAATTTTAATATATTGTTTTTATTTTATTTTATTTTATTTGAGACGGAGTCTGGCTTTGTCACCACGGTGGAGTGCAGTGGCGCGATCTCGGGTCACTGCAACCTC